TTGCAGTGAGACAAGATTGTGCCATTGCACTCCAGTCTGACGACAGAGCTAGACTCATTCAAAAAATAAAAAGCCATTGTCCTGTTTTCCTCGACTCTTAAATGGACCTGTTGGCCCCATTCAGCTAATAGGGCCTCCCATTTCCCTTAAGAGAATTGAAGGCTGCCTTGGATAAGACCCCTAGTCAGCAAACATCTATATAATCAGGTGACCGCGTCCCCTCCACACACTTCACTGCTGGAGGGGAGCCTCCAGGAGGGAAGGAAAGTGGCTGAGGATGATCGTCTTCCTAATATGCAAGTTTCCACTTCCCACTTCAGGCGTCCACCTTCCTGGCCTGGTCTTTCTTTTTCCCTGGAATACAAGGGAATGTTGCCTGCTGCCTCCTGGGTTTCATCCCAGAAAGCTCTGGCTTTTCTGCTGCCCACAGAGGCCTGGGCCAGGAGAGTTGCTAAGATGCCATGGAGTGCCCATTTGGTCACTGGCAGTCTGGGCAGGTGGCCCCTTTTTTGGTTTGTGGTAACAGAGAAAGGGCCAAAAGGTGCACACCGAGTCCCTGGGTGGCTGCAGGCAGCTCCAGCCTGGTCCTAAGAATCCTCCTCACCATGGTCACATGCCTGAAGAACTGTGCCCAGAAAGTTGCCCACTGCTTCTGTGCTGCCGATTTTCCTACCCCTGCCCTTCCCTGTTACTCCTCGCATGTCTCAGTTAATAAGGAATTCCTTGTCTTCCCTGGTCCCCGGGGAAAAGGGCTAAAAGCAGTCCATGTGCACCCCAACCTTATTATTCTAAGGTGGGCAAAGAAGTGCAGAGCAGCCTAAAGTGCAAAGCTCTGGGGAAAAGCCCGCTAATTAGGGGCGCTCTCCCGTAGCCATATGTCCAATGCTCAGTAGGCTAAGGTCCACAAGCTCTGCCAGCTGCCATCATCTTCAAAATAAACAAATACCAGTTTTCATCTGAATCCACTGGGGAATGGGATGATTTTGCTTTTGTTTCTTAGCCCGGAATCACTTAATCATGAGTCTTGTTAGAAGACATGGTAAGAAGCGGAGTCAAGCAGACACCATGATGGCAGAGGAATGAAGAGAAGGGGCTTCCCAGCTTTTTTTTTTTTTTTCTGTCCGAGTTCTGCTCGTTGCCCAGAAGAAAGTGCAATGGTGTCTTCTCGGCTCATTGCAACATCCCCCTCGGGGTTTAAGTGATTCTCCTGCTGCAGTCTCCTGAGTAGCTGGGATTCCAGGCACCCACTACCATGCCTGCCTATTTGTATTTTTAGTAGAGAAGAGGTTTCACCATGTTAACTGTAAGGCCGATAGCCTTGCTAGGAGCCGGATAAACAACACCCACCCCCTCTATGCCTGATAACAGTTTATCAAACAGAACACATTACTCAGCATCTGGCTCCTCCATGCGGGCTCCCCTCACCCACTTCTGCATTCTGCCCCCAGGTCTATATTCAGCACTAGACTAGGCACTCTCAGCAGCAAGCTGTGCATTTGAACCTCAGCACTAAACTATACAGCTGAACCCGCGAAAATTAAAGAAATCTTGCCAAGCCTTATCCAATGGCAGCCCACCCCATGCATCCTAGGCCAGCCTGCCTCTAACCCCCATAAAACCCCCTGCCCTGAGAAGTCAAGCGTGACTTCTCTGGCCCCTTTCCCCAGGACCACAGAACCTCTCCCGGACATAAATAAACTGGCATCTAATTGTTCTTATACTGGCCTCAGTTTCCTCGTTTTCAACTCAGCGATAACCCTTACATTAACGAGGCTGGTCTCAAACTCCTATCGTTTCTGCTGTTAGCTGGCAGTCCTCTTCATTGCGGCAGGAACAAGATTAATTTGTTTTCTGTAAAACTGATGTGGATGACCTGCCTGCCACCCTGCATCACTTCACACATCGTCTTCTCCCAACTCACAATGAGGTGTGATTTCTTTTGGCCATCGTCCTCATAAACTTGTCATATGGCATCAATGATTTTGTTCCTTACCCAGTCTTTACAGTATTATTATTTTGAGACACGATCTCACTCCGTCACCCACACTGAAGGGCAGTGGCATGATCACAGCTCACTGCAGCCATGACTGCCCAGGCTCAAGCCATCCGCCCACCACAGACTCCACAGTAGCTGTGTCTGCAGCATGTGCCACCATGCCCAGCTAATGTTAGTCTTTCTTGTAGAGAAGGGGATTTCACCATGTCGCCCAGGCTGCCCTTGAATACGTGGGCTCATGTGACCCATGTCTCGGCCCCTGAAAGTGCTGGGATTACAGGCCTGAGCTGCTGCATCTGCTCTCATTGTAAATTTGACGTTTCTTCTTGTTTCAAGTTTAGCACATATGTTACTGCTTTGACAGAGTCTCTTCTCAAACTCGTGCCTTATCCTTCTGAGTGGCTCAAAATAGAGCCTATTTAGACATGCTGTAACAAACTTATATCAGTTTAGGGTGCTAAAGTGTGAAATTTATAGACATAAATTTTTCAGAATTTTTTTTTTTTTTGAGTAGAGACTGAGCTTTTGCATGTTGGCCAGGATGTTCTTGATCTGCTGACCTCATGATCTGCCTGCTGCAGCCTCTCAAAGTGCTGAGATTACAGATGTGACCCCCAGGCCTGGCCATTACATATTTTTAAATAAATTTCTGGCCGGGCGCAGTAGCTCACGCCTATAATCCCAGCACTTTGGGAGGCTGAGGCGGGTGAATCACGAGGTCAAGAAATCGAAACTATCCTGGTTAACATGGTGAAACCCTGTCTCTACTAAAAATACAAAAATTAGCTAAGCATGTTGGCGCGTGCCTGTAGTCCCAGCTACTTGGGAAGCTGAGGCAGGAGAATTGCTTGAACCCAGGAGGCAGAGATTTCGGTGAGCCAAGATCATGCCTTTGCACTCCAGCCTGGGTAACAAGAGTGAAACCGGGTCTCAGAAAAAAAAAAATTTTTTTTTTGAAGACTTCTTGTACTAAAAACCTTTATTTGAGAGAATATAAAAAGGATTGTGGACATTCCAGTGTCAGTTATTCCTGGGATGCAAGGATGGTTCAACATATTGAAGCAAATCAATGTGATACACCACTTGAACAGAATGGAAGATGAAAAACACATCAACTCAACAGATGGGAAAAAAGCATTTCTCAGAATTCAACATCCAGACATCATAGAAATCCTAAACAAAATAGATAGCGAAGAAAATTTCCCTCAATAATATAAAGATTACCCATGAAGCCTGGGCGCGGTGGCTCATGCTTGTAATCCCAGCACTTTGGGAGGCCAAGGTGGGTGGATCACGAGGTCAAGGGATCGAGACCATCCTGGTCAACATGGTGAAACCTGTCTCTACTAAAAATACAAAAAATTAGTTGGGCATGCTGGTGTGTGCCTGTAATCCCAGCTACTCGGGAGGCTGAGGCAGGAGAATTGCCTGAACCCAGGAGGCGGAGGTTGCAGTGAGCGGAGATCACACCATTGCACTCCAGCCTGGGTCACAAGAGTGAAATTCTATCTCAGAAAAGAAAAAAGACCATCCAGGAGATGACCACAGCAGAAATAACCAATCAAAAAATTGATGGAATGCGTTTCCTGTAGAATATCACATGATGCAGGAATTCTCTCACTCCTTCCATTCAATAAATACTGTTGTCCTAGGCAGAGTAATTACACAGCAAAAGAAATAAAACTCATCCTACTCAGAAACAAGTACAAATATATTTGTTTGGAGATACAAGTTCTGCTCCGTAGAATATTACAGTCAACAAAATTCTACCGGAACCAAGAAACACATTCAGTGTTACTGCGAAATACAGTAGCAGCACAAAAACATTGTCCAATTCCCATACATCTACAATACACAATTTTAAGAGAAAATTAAGAAAACATTTCCACCTGCTAGAGAACTTAAAATAAAAAATAATTAGGCCGGGCACGGTGGCTCACGCCTATTATTCCAGCACTTTGGGAGGCTGAGGCGGGTGGATCACGAGGTCAAAAGATGGAGACCATCCTGGTCAACGAGGTGAAACCCTGTCTCTACTAAAAATACAAAAATTAGCTGCGCATGGTGGTGCGCACCTGTAGTCCCAGCTACTTGGGAGGCTAAGGCAGAAGAATTGCTTGAACCCAGAAGGCGGAGGTTGCAGTGATCCAAGATCGCACCATTGCACTCCAGTCTGGGTAACAAGAACAAAACTCCCTCTCAAAAAAAAGAAAAAAGAAATACTTAGGAATAAAGGTTAAAAGGTGAGAAGTTTCTACCTTGACATCTACAAACATTGATCAGAATGATTAAAAACAAATAGACACACACAACTCATACTGACGGATTGGAAAAATATTGTGAAATGATTATATAAACCAATGTGATTAGATGCAACACAATACCCATAAAACCCCCTATCAGTTTTTTTAAATAAAAACAAAACAAAACAAAAGGCTGGGAAAAGGGGATCACATCTGTTGGACAGGCTGGTCCAAATCTCCTGACCTTAAGCGACCTACCCATCTTGGCCTCCCAAAGTGCTAAGATTACAGGTGTGAGCCACACCCTGCCTGGCCCAATCATCTTAATATAAACACTTTAATGTCAATTAATGCTTGAACTCAATGTTAAGTCAACTCAAACTCAAGTAGATGCTGAATTGACTGCAATGTCAATTAATTCTTTTTTTTTGAGACAGAGTATTGCTCTGTTGCCAGGCGCCAGGCTGGAGTGCAGTGGCACAATCTCGACTCACTGCAACCTCCACTTTCTGGGTTCAAGCAAATCTCCTGCCTCATCAGCCTCCCAAGTAGCTGAGACTATAGGTCCATGCCACCATACCCAGCTAATTTTTGTATTTTTAGTAGAGACGGGGTTTCAACATGTTGACAAGGACGGTCTTGATCTCTTGACCTGGTGATCCACCCGCCTCAGCCTCCCAAAGTGCTGGGATTACAGGCTTGAGCCACCGTGCCCAGCCAAATGTCAATTAATTCTTGATGGCTGCTTATTCAATGCATTTTGAACAATTATCTCCAGAATTAGTTTTCTCATGTTCTGCAAGGAGTGACCTCGGACTAAAGACCATGCCACACTTAGGACATTTGTAAGATTTCCGTCCAGGATGGATTCTCTGATGTCTAATGACGTGTGAATGTGAAGTAAAGCTTGCCACCGTGAGCACACTGGGGAGGTTTCTCTCCTGTATAACTTCTCCCGTTTTGCATAAGGGGAAGTATGACTGAAGACCTGGCCACAATCCTGACATTTGTAGGGTTTCTCTCCAGCATGAGTTGGCCGATAAACTGAAAGGTATCAACGATGTTCAAAAAATCTCCACATTTACCACACTTGTAAGATGCCTTTCCACTATGGATTCTCCAATAATGTCAATGGCTGTAGCGTTACTGAAGACTTTGGAACAATCTTTACATTAGTAAAGTTTCCCTATGCCATGGATTGCTTGATGATGAATAAGTGCTCACTGTCCACTGAAGGCTTGGCCACACTCAGTACCCGTGTATGTTTTCTCTCCAGTGAGAATCTAGCATGTTACGCCAGGTGTGAATCATGCCCGAAAGCCTTGTCGCAAATCTCAGATGTCTATGGTTTCTGTTCAGTATGATTTACCCTGTGTCTTTCAGGGTGTGACTTGGGACTGAAAACCTCATATTCTTCACATTTGGAAGGTTTCTCTCCAGCACGAAGTCTATAATGACGAGCAAGATTTGATTTCTGATTAAAAACCTTGCCACACTCATTACACTTGTAAGGACTCTCTCCAGCATGAATTACCTTATGAATTAAGAAATCAGTTTTGATTGAAGGACTTGTTGCACTAATTACACTTGTGGGGTTTCTCTCCAGTGTGAATTCTAATATGTTTTCCCAGGTATACATTACACATGAAAGCCTTGTCACAAATCTTACATCTGTAAGCTTTCTCTTCACTGAGTTTTCTTCTGCATTTCAAGGTGTGATTTGTGAGTGAAAACTGTCACATTTTTCACATTTGTAAGGTTTCTCTCCAGAATGAAGTCTATAATGGCATGCAAGGGTTGCCTGTCGGTTAAAAACCTTGCCACATTCATTACACTAGTAAGGTTTCTCTCCAGTATGAAGTCTACAATGGCGTACTAGATTTGGCATCTGACTGAAGGTCTTGCCACACTCATTACACTTGTAAGGTTTCTCTCCAGTGTGAATTATACTGTGTTTAGCTAGGTGTGAATCGCTTCTGAAAGGCTTGTCACAGACCTTACATTTGTAAGGTTTCTCTCCAGTATGAAGTCTACGATGATATGTAAGGGATGACATCTGATGAAAGGTTTTTCCACACTCATTACACTTGTAAGGCTTCTCTCCAGTATGAAGTCTACGATGGCATGTAAGGGATGACACCTGACTGAAGGTCTTGCCACACTCATTACACCTATAAGGTTTCTCTCCTGTATGATGTCTATGATGACATATGAGGTGTGCTTTACGATTAAAAACCTTGCCACATTCATTACACTTGTGAGGTTTCTCTCCAGTATGAATTGCCTCATGAATTACAAGTGATGAATTTCGACTGAAGGTCTTGCCACACTCATTACACTTGTAAGGTTTCTCTCCAGTGTGAATTCTAGTATGTCGTGTAAGGTGTGAATCTTGTCTGAAAGCCTTCTCACAAACCTTACATTTGTAAGGTTTTTCTCCAGTATGAAGTCTATGATGGCACATAAGGGATGACTTTTGACTGAAGGTCTTGCCACACTTATTACACTTGTAAGGTTTCTCTCCAGTGTGAATTACCTCATGAGTTACAAGTGAGGAATTACTACTGAAGGTCTTGCCACATTCAATACACTTGTAAGGATTGTCTCCAGTGTGCATTCTAGAATGTTGTGCCAGGTGTGAATCACGCCCAAAAGCCTTGTCACAAACCATACATTTGTAAGGTTTCTCTCCAGTATGAAGTCTATGATGGCATGTAAGGTATGATTTTCGACTGAAGGTCTTGCTACACTCATTGCACTTGTAAGGTTGCTCTCCAGTATGACGTCTATGATGGCATGTAAGGGATGACTTTTGACTGAAGGCCTTGCCACACTCATGACACTTGTAAGGTTTCTCTCCAGTATGAATTCTACGATGGCATGTAAGGGATGACATCTTATTGAAGGTCTTACCACACTCATTACACTTGTGAGTTTTCTCTCCAGTATGAACTCTGAGATGGCGTCGAAGGGATGACATCACACTGAAGGTATCGACACACTCATGACACTTGTAAGGTTTCTCTAATGTATGAAGTCTATGATGGCAGGTAAGGGATGACACCTGACTAAAGGTCTTGCCACACTCATTACACTTGTAAGGTTTCTCTCCAGTATGAACTCTATGATGGCGTTGGAGGCATGACTTGTGACTGAAGGACTTGCCACAGTTATTACACTTGTGAGGTTTCTCACCAGTGTGACATCTACGATGGCTTTCAAGATATCGCTTCTCATTAAAGACCCTGCCACACACATCACATTCATATTGTTTGTTTCCTAAATGACTTATTTGATATTTCCTTAAGAATGAGCTATAATTGAGGTTGCTGTCATCTGAAAAAAAAAAAAAAAAAAAAAAAAAATTAATTAAAAGAATGAGCTACAATGAAAGGCTTTCCCACTCTGATGACATTGGAAAGATTTTTCTCTCATGTACTTCCTGTTTATGTGCAAGTAATGAAGAATGAAGGAAATTATTGTCATGGTTATTAGATATATGGGGGCTGGGCGCGGTGGCTCAAGCCTGTAATCCCAGCACTTTGGGAGGCCAAGGCGGATGGATCACGAGGTCAAGAGATTGAGACCATCCTGGTCAAAACATGGTGAAACCCGGTCTCTACTAAAAATACAAAAAAATTAGCTGGGCATGGTGTCTCATGCCTGTAATCCCAGCTACTCAGGAGGCTGAGCAGGAGAATTGCCTGAACCCAGGAGGCGGAGGTTGCTGTGAGCCGAGATTGCTCCATTGCACTCCAGCCTGGGTAACAAGAGCAAAACTTTGTCTCAAAACAAAACAAAACAAAACAAAAAACAAGATGGGTTTTGGGTATACAAAAAAATTATTTGGGATGTTGAAACTAAGGAAGCATCATTGATAGACTTCTCAACCTGATTACCAAGATTCCCTTCAGTCTGAAATATGTGGAGTTCAGGCAGATGCGAATCAAAGCTTAATCCAAGCTCATCCTTAATAGGCTTGTTTCCAGCCTGCCTTTCATCATATCAGTCTGTACTACCAGTCAGCTTTTTTATTTCTGTCCTGGGTGCTTCATGGTTCTTTCATCTTCTTGCCACTCAAACTCAAAGTCATGACTATGTTTCTCAATTTTCTGGAAGCAGAAATCTCCAATGTGATGATTTTCATCTCTTCTCAATGTCCCTGTGCAAAACCATTCTGTATTACCTTGCCCTGTTGATGAAAACTTCTTCCTTATGCATTTGGAAGAGATATCTACAAAATATAAACTCCACGGCTCCTGGCCAGGACTAGTGCTATTATATATAAATAAAAAAGGACATTAAAAAGCTTGTTGCCTATTTTTTTTTCCACTATGACCAAACAGCAGGAAGATGCTTGGGCTAAATCAGAAAGGAGGCTGTCACCAGAAACCAATTTGCCTGTACCTTGCTCTTGGATTTCCCACTTTCTAAATTCAAAAGAAATAAATCTGTGTCTTAAGCTTCCCAGTTGAAGCTGTTCTTTTTGTTGTTGTTGTTGTTGTTGTTTTGAGACTGAGTCATGCTCTATCACCCAGACTGGAGTGTAATGAATGGTGTGATTCTCCTGCCTAAAGAGATTCTCGCATAGCAGACTCTCAAGTACGTGGATCTACAGCTTGGCTAAGTGTGTGAGTTTGTGTGTGTGTCACAGTCTTGCTCTGTCAACCAGCCTGGACTGCAGTGGCATGATCTTGGCTCACTGCAACCTTTGCCTCCTAGGATCTAGTAATTCTTTGGCCTCAGCCTCCCAAGTAGCTGGGATTACAAGTGCATGCCACCAAGCCCAGCTAATTTGTGTAGTTTTAGTAAAGATGGGATTTGACCATATTGGCAAGGCTGGTCTCAAACTCCTGACCACAGGTTATCTGGCCGTCTTGGCCTACCAAAGCACTGAGATTTTAGGTGTGAGCCAAAGCACCCAGCCAATTTTTTGTATGTAGTAGATTCAAGGTTTCAGTGTGTTGGCCCAACTGGTCTCAATCTCCTGATCTGAAGCAACCCAACCATCTCGGCCTTGCAAAGTGCTGGGATTAGAGGCATGAGCCACCATGGCCAGCCAGTCTAAGCTATTTCTGACATGAAAGAAAAATGACTGACACAAAAAAAGGGGCATCTCATCATCAACATCACCCAAGGCTGAAAAATCTTATTAAAAAAAGAAAGTTTAGAGTCCGTACTATAAAACTTTCAATATGTGAAGACATCTAATTAACATGTTTTAAAAACCTGGAGGCAGCCAGGCGTGGTGGCTCATGCCTGTAATCCCAACACTTTCAAACTCCAAGGTGGGTGGATCACCTGAGATAGGAAGGTCAAAACCAGCATGACCAACATTGAGAAACCATGTCTCTACTAAAAATACAAAATCAGTCAGGTGTGGTGGTGCATGCCTGTAATCCCAGACACTTCAGAGTGTCAAGCATGATAATTGATTAAATCTGGGAAGCAGAGATTGCAGTGAGCAGAGATTGTGCAACTGCACTCCAACATGGGCAACAACAGAAAAACTCCATCTCAAAAAAACAAAACAAAACAGAAAAAAAAACCTCAAGACAAACTAGTACTTCTCAAATAAGGACAGCAGCCCCACACTATTCATGTACTTGACCCAATTTGCACATCTGGTAAGTGAGGGACAAAACTTGATCCTGGGCCTGAAGGATCCCACGACATGTTCTTAAGCACAACAGTCACCCAGGCAGTACAGAAAGTACAAGGAGACAGGAAGAAATACATCAAGGAGGATAACGAGGGCTGAGCTGTGCTGCTGACAGTGATGCTGAGCCATCCCTCATGGAGAATGTGCTGAGTCATCAGGCCCTGAACACACTGATTTAGGCAGCCTCCTATCATTACGTCCAGTGGATGTACAAGGTCCTGACTTACTTAATGAGTCGTGTTGGAGGGGAGGGGCTCATGTGGAAATTGGGGTGTTCACCATTAGAAATTAACAGGCTGCAAAGCAGCAGCATTTTGCATCCAGATCAATGTAGCATGTGAGGCAAGGCCAGGAAAGGAAGGGCAAGGGTGGAGGGCAGGAAGTAATAGGCATGCAGGAGTGAACTGTGTGCAGGCTCGTCTGTGGGAATATAATCCCACCAGCATAGACCAAAGTTTGAGCTTGGAGGGAAGTGGAACTAATTTAGCAAATGGTCAAATATGAAACCGAGGTGAAACACACAAATCACAATATGGGCAGGGGACAAGAAGAAAAGATCCAAAACAGCAGCAGTAGTGCCCTGAGGTGAAGGCAGTTTTACATCTCTCAAATTAAACGGCCTCTGATTTCAATTTCAGGAATATACTCAACAAACTCCCCATGTACATTACAGCACTGTGTACACACAAGAAAAAACAAATAAACTCTGAAATAGAGTACAGCAATGTAGGAGACTGTGGGGGTTAAGAGTGAGCCCCTGGCTGAGTACATACAGATGTGTTTGTGAAAACAGAGTCAGGCCAGTCACGATGTATTCCAGCCTGTAACCCCAGCACTTTGGGGGGGTTGAGGCAGGTAGATCATCAGGTCAGGAGTTTGAGACCACCCTGGCCAGGATGGGCAAATCCCATTTCTAGTACAAAAATACAAAACATTAGTCGGGCATGGCAATGTGCACCTATAATCCCAGATATTCAGGAGGCTGAGGTAGGAGAATTTCTAAAACCTGGAAAACAACGGTTTCAGTGAGCCGAGATCACGCCACTGCACTCCAGCCTGGGTGTCAGAGCAGGACTCCGTTTCAAAAAAAGAAAGAAGCAAGGCCGGCTAGAGATTTTGTTTACACATGTGATTGGTTACATTAGTGAAGAAAAACTAACGTGCTGACTAAAATGTTTGCCATATAAAAATTGAAGGGGAAATCTCGCTCTTTATATAAAAACAATGATGTCTCTTTTCCTGGATCCTATGTTATTTGAAATCACATCTCTGGGGATGGGCGTGGTGGCTCAAGCCTGTATCCCAGCACTTTGGGTGGCCGAGACGGGTGGATCACCAGGTCCAGAGATCAAGACCATCCTGGTGAACAAGGTGAAACCCCGTCTCTACTAAATAATACAAAAATTAGCTGGACGTGGTGGTGCGCCCCTGTAATTGTAGCTACTCAGGAGGCTGAGGCAGAAGAATTGCTTGAACCCAGGAGGCGGAGGTTGCAGTGAGCTGAGATCGTGCCATTGCACTCCAGCCTGGGTAACAACAGCGAAACTCCGTCTCAAAAAAAAAAAAAAAAAAAAAGAAAGAAATCACATCTCTGGATTTTAAACACAGTCTCTGGAATAAATGAGAGATGAAAAGTGAAGGTGACAAAGTAGCCAAGGCCAGGCCCTCATATCCTCATAAAGACATCAACTAAACCGAAATGTTTCATCAAAAATATGTTCATAGGCTGGGCGTGGTGGCTCAGGCCTGTAATCCCAGCATGTTGAGAGGCCGAGGTGGGTGGATCACCTGAGGTCAGGAGTTTGAGACCAGCCTCGCCAACATAATGAAACTCTGTCTACTGAAAATACTAACATTTGCCGGGCATGGTATTTGATGCCTGTAATCCCAGCTACTTAAGAGGCTGAGGCAGGAGCATCGCTTCAACCAGGGAGATAGAGGTTGCAGTCAGCCGAGATTGCACCATTGCACTCCAGCCCGGGGAACAAGAGAAAAATTCCGTCTTGAAAACAAACAAACAAACAAACAAAAAACGCTGTACAAAGCAAAATCACAACAGAGAATACAAACCAGGAAAAGCCAAGATGGACAAGGGCAGATTCCTCGTGTCTGGAGGGACGGGTTCCTCACCCACAGACTCCAGGTTCCTGTAGTTCTCCAACATCACGTCCCTGTATAAAGCCCTCTGCGCAGGGGTCAGGCATTTCCACTCCGCCAAAGAGAATTCTATAGCCACATCCCTGAAAGTCAAGCGTCCCTAAAATGAAAAACACATTTCAACAAAACATTATGGAGGAGTGAGTTAAGAGAATGAGAAAAAATGAGAAAAGAGAAATTCAGTATCCATTTCATCAAGGACTGTCCCGACAAACCCAAGTAAGGTTATTTCCGAACTTCTTTATCTCTAGTTGCACTTTACTGCACTTTTTCATCAAGCATTTTAAGATCACCTGTCACTGTGGAAGTCTTGATTTCATGGACAATATGAAAAACATACAAAGAAGAAGAAAACGCTGGGCTGAGCATGGTGGCTCATGCCTGTTATCCCAGCACTTTGGGAGGCCAAGGCAGGCAGATTATTTGAGGTCAGGAGCTGGAGACCAGGTTGGCCAACATTGTAAAACCCTGCTTCTTTCTATTAAAAGTATAAAAATTAGTCGGGCGTGATGGCAGTGCCTGTAATCCCAGTGACACAGGAGACTAAGGCAAAAGAATCACTTGAACCCAGCAGACAAAGGCTGCAGTGAGTCCAGATCACTCCACTATCCTCCACCATAGGTGACACAGACTCCATCTCAATAACAACAAAAAGCAAGGCTGGGTGTGGTGGCTCATGTATGTAACCCCAGCACTTCCGGAGGCCAAGGCAGGCACATCACAAAGTGAGGAGTTCAAGACCAGCCTGGCTAACATGGTGAAACCCCATCTCTACTAAAATTACAAAACTAGCCTGTGTATTGGCACATGCCTCTAATCCCAGCTACTCAGAGGGCTGAGGTTGAAGAATAGCTTGAACCCAGGAAGCAGAAGTGTCACTGAGCTGAGATCACAACACTGTACTTCATCTTGGGTGAGAGTGAGACTCATAAATATAAAAAAAGAAAGAAAAGCCGGGCGCGGTGGCTCACGCCTGTAATCCCAGCACTTTGGGAGGCCGAGGCGGGTGGATCACGAAGTCAAGAGATGGAGACCATCCTGGTCAACATGGTGAAACCCCGTCTCTACTAAAAATACAAAAAATTAGCTGGGCATGGTGGCACGTGCCTGTAATCCCAGCTACTCAGGAGGCTGAGACAGAATTGCCTGAACCCAGGAGGCGGAGGTTGCGGTGAGCCGAGATCGCGCCATTGCACTCCAGCCTGGTTAACAAGAGCGAAACTCCGTCTCAAGAAAAAAAAAAACAAAAAAAAAGAAAGAAAGAGAGAAATAAATAAATACTGGCCGCATGTGATGACACATGCCTATTATTCTAGCTCTTTGGGAGGCTAAAGTGGGGATCATTTGAGCACAGGAGTTTGAGGCTGCTGTAAACTCTGAATTGTGCCACTGTACTTCACACGTAAGCCACAGAGCAACACCTTCTCTATTTTTATTTTTTATAGAAAGCCTCACTCTGTCATGCAGACTGGAGCCCAATAGCAGAATCTTGGGTTACTGTAACCTCCCCCTCCCAGGTTCAAGTGATTCTCCTGCCTCAGCTTCCTGAGTAGCTGAGATTATAGTAGACATGCACCACCATACCCAGCCAATTTTTGTATTTTTAGTAAAAATGGGGTTTCATCATGTTGGCCTGGCTGGTCATGAACTCCTGAGCTCAAGTGATCCACCCAGCTCGGCTTCCCTAAGTGCTGGGATTATAGGCCTGAGCCACTGAACCTGAACCAAAATCTTGCCTCTTAAAAATATTCTGATGAGGCCAGGTGTGGTGGCTCACACCTATAATCCCAGCACTTTGGGAGGCTGAGGCGGGTGGATCATGAGGTCAAGAGATCAAGACTACCTGGGTCAACATGGTGAAACCCCGTCTCTACTAGTAATACAAAAGTTAGCTGGGCATGGTGGTGCAGCCTGTAGTCCCAGCTACTTGGGAGGCTGAGGCAGGAGAATTGCTTGAACCCAGGAAGCGGAGGTTGCGGTGAGCCAAGATCGCACCATTGCACTCCAGCCTGGGTAATAAGAGCGAAACTCCGTCTGAAACAAAAAAAAAAAAGAAGGAAGAAGAAAAAAACATTTTGATGATCCTGAAAAGTTAGCTTCTCCTGGAAACAAAAAAAGAAAGAAAAGAGTTTGGAGCCAAAGATGTGTTGATCTACCAGTGTGGCTTCCACTGCATTACAAAATCAGATACAAAATAGCTCCCCTTACTGGTATCCTTTTCCAAAATTTCCCAGACATCTGTGCGCATTAACTTATGTGTTTCATATGTGGTTTCTCTCATCTGGTCATGAAGAGCTGATATCCAGATGTGGCCCCTGAACAATCCAGGCTGCGCAGCAGCACTGACACCACGGGGCCCACACCCCGTGTCCATCCAGGTCTGGTGTCAGCCCTTCCCATGACCATGCCCAGTGGAGTTTCTTCCTGAGTTCATGTCACTGGGTCACAGGAGATGGAATCTCAGAGCAGATGACAGGAACTGAGGAAGGCACGGGTGAGTGCGAGCCAACATGTCAGGCAGGACGCTTCAGACTCAGAACAGACTGGCTCCTGCAATACTTGGCATTTCAGAAAGGAAGGAGACAGATGAACCCACCAAGGAGTGTCACTTTACCTGAGGAAGAGCCATGCCTGGCTCCTTTTCTTTCCTCTTCTGAGCTGCTTCCTCACGTAACACAAGTTTTTGGAAATTAATCCTGTACATGAAAAGAATATGAGACTTAATGTTAGAAATGATTCACTCCCTTCTTGTGACAAAAAAAAAACAAAACACATGGGGGAGACCTCACCATGTAGAAAGATGGGCCTCTGCTGCCCACTGCACCAGAGATCATGCAGAGAGAAGACAGTCCCACAGGAACACCTACAAGTGTATGTTTCACCCTCCTCTTCAGACCTCACTCCCTTCCTGGAGAAGCCCCACACACCAGGCAGCAGTGGGGAGCTGGGCTGGACTCAGCTCCCCTTCAGGGCACAAACCCAGCCCTGACCAGAGCACAGCCACTCCCCTATCTGTGGATCACAGGCTGAGCTCAGCCCTCAGAAACAGAGGACACAGAACCTTGACCCTCAGTGCTGCACACAGATTACTATCACCTGGGACACTGTAGGTATTTGTGCATCACTTATGTGTGACCTGGAAGCCCCCTTTCTGCTTCAAGTCTTTTTGCCTTTGCTTCTAGTTGTCGCGCGTTTCCAGACCAAACCAATGTACTTCTTACATATATTCCTATCTCGTGTCTCCCTAAAATGTGTAAAACTAAGCTGTACCCTGATTACCATGGGCACATGTCGTCATGATAAGTCTCAACGTGATTTGAGTCCCGTTTTTGCCCTTCTTGTGCTTTTTCTTTTTTAATTTTTGGAGGACTGGAATCTATTTAAAATTTGAGTTAAAACTGAGCACTGGCAAGGCACAGTGGCTCCCACCTGTAATCCCAAGACGTTGGGAGGAAGAGGTGATTGCATCACGGGCTCAGGAGGTTGAGATCATTCTGGCAAACATGATGAAAGCCCGTCTCTACTAAAAATACAAAAAAAATTAGACAGCCCTGATGGTAGGTGCCTGTAATTCCAGCTACTTGCAAAGACAGGAAAATTGCTTGAGCCGACAAGGTGGAGGTTGCAATAAGCCAAGATGGTGCCACTGCACTCCAGCCTGGGTGACAGAGCAAGACTCAACCAGATACAAAGAAAGAGAGAAAGAGAAAGAGAAAGGGGAGGAGGAAGCGGGGGAAGGGAGAGGGAGAAAGTGTGGGGGGGGAGAGAGAGAGAGAAAGGGTGGGGGGAGAGGGAGAGAGAGGGAGGGAGGGAGAGAGAGAGAGAGAGAGAGAAAGAGAGAGAGGTGAGGTGGAAGGGAGGGAAAAACAAATAAAAAACAGCACTACCCTCTCCTGAATAAAAGCCACACACTGTATTTTGTCAGTCATTTTAGGGGTCACTGTCACTCTGAGATTTTCCGGTCTTCTTTCTCACCTCTATGTTACAGGTGGACTCATGAAGGCTCACAGTGGGAGACAGTTCACCAAGTTATCCTGAGAACCTCTGAGATAAGGAGGTGTGGCTAATTTCCATGTGATGGCCTGCAAGGGCCAATAGGCTGCCTTGGTCTTCTTCCTCTAGAAAATTCCAAGACCACCAGGGAATGGTAGCTCACCCCTATAATCCAGGCACTTTGAGAAGTTGAGGCAGGCAGATCACTTGAGCCCAGAAGTTTGAAACCAACCTGGGCAACCTGGTGAAACCCGTCTCTACCAAAAATACACAAAGTTAACCAGGCATCATGGCACACGTCTGTGGTCCCAGCTACTTTAGAGGCTGATGCAAGATTACTTGAGCCTGGGAGGCAGAGGTTGCAGTGATCCCAGATTGTGCCAGTGCATCACAGCCTGAGTGACAGAGTGACACTCCACCTCAAGAGAAAAAAAAAGCAAAAACAATAGTCATCCTCTTCTATACAGTTCCAGAACTGGCCACGTGGGCAAATTCCTAGTATAATCGCAGCACTTTGGGAGGCTGAAGCAAGCGGATCAGTTGAGCCCAGTTTTAGATCAACTTGGCAACATGGTAGAACCCCATCTCTACCAAAAGTACAAAAAATTAACCAGGCATGGTGCTGTGCATCTGTGATCCTAGTTATTTGGGAGGCCAACTAGGGAGGATTGCTTGGGCCTGGGAGGCAGAGGTTGCAGTGATCGAAGATCCTGTCACTGCACTTGGGTATGTGTGACAGAGTGACATTCTATCTCAAAAAACCGGAAAAAAAAAAAAATGCTGGGTAAGGTGGCTAACGCCTGTAATCCCAACACTTTGGGAGACCGAGGTGGGGGATCCGGAGATCAGGAGTTCGAGATCAGCCTGACCAACATTGTAAAACCCAGTCTCTACTAAAAATACAAAAACAAAAGTTAGCTGGTCATAGTGGCACACACCTGTAGTCCCAGCTACTTAGGAGGCAGAGGCAGAACTGCTTGAACCTGGGAGGCGGAGGTTGCAGTGAGCTGAGATCGCAGCACTGCACTCCATCTAGAAAGAAAGAAAAGAAAAGAAAAAAAAAGATGGGCATAGTGGCTCATGCCTGTAATCCCAGCACTTTGGGAGGCCTATGGGGCCGGATCGCTTCAGCCCTGGAGTTGGAGAACAGCCTGGGAAACATAACGAAAGCCCGTCTATACCAAGAACACAAAAATTAGCTCGGTGTGGTGGTACCCATCTGTGGTTGCAGCTACTCTGGAGACTGAGGTCAGAGGAGCTCTTGAGCACAGGTTGACACTGCAATGAGCTGTGATTCTGTCACAGCCCTTTCGCCTGGCTAAAAGAGCGACACCCATCTCCAATAAAAACGAGAAAAAGGGCCGGGTGCAGTGGCTCACGCCTATAATCCCAGCACTTTGGGAGGCCGAGGCGGGTGGATCACGAGGTCAAGAGATCGAGACCATCCTGGTCAACATGGTGAAACCCCGTCTCTACTAAAAATACAAAAATTAGGTGGGCATGGTGGCGCCCGTCTGTAGTCCCAGGTACTCAGGAGGCTGAGGCAGGAGAATTGCTTGAACCCAGCAGGCGGAGGTTACAGTGAGCCAGATCTCGCCACTGCACTCCAGCCTGGGTAACAAGAGTGAAACTCCGTCTGAAAAAAAAAAAAAAAAGAGAAAAAGTAAGCACCTGGGTCCTGGGTCTGGGGCGGGGAATCTGAGGCCAATTAACACGAACTTTCCGGATCTAGACCAAAAGGAAAAACCCCATCTTCCCACGCAGGGTAACGAAGATTCAAAGGCTACTCTCCCTACAGCCCTCCCCCTCCACCAAGTATCCCATGGAAATGGAATGGGAAAGAGCCCAGGAGTGGCCACGGCCAAGCAGCTGCATAGGGAACCCGTTTATTGTGGCCTCGAGACAATTCACCTCAGCATTTCATTGGCCAAGGGCCAAATCTTTTATCTAATAAGGGGTAGCCCATAAGACTTCAAAAGAAAAACTTTAACTGCCCAAAACTTTGTAAATGGGGCCCTGGAGATGCTCCCTAGGGCCCACTCCCAGCCTGTGGAGTGCTTTCTTAATCGATTTAATTAATGCTTTCTGCTTTTGCCGCTGCACTCGTTTGCTATTTTGTGTGTGTGTGTGTGTTTTTCCCCACGTTCAACAGAACCTGGACATCTCAAACTCAAGGCTGCCTTCCGGTTAAACAGGGCGAGGATGGGAGAAGAGGGCTGCCTCCAGAAGAGCACGTTTTCCAGGGGTTGGAAGTGGGGAGCAGCCGGGCCCGACAGGAGGAGGGAGTGTGGAACCACAGCGCCTTCGGAAGGGGTGGGGTCTGCAAAATCCCAGGACTGGGCCGAGGGCGCGCCTCCCCGGGACTGGGGCTGCGCACTGCGCTCCAGGGCCTCACAAGAGCGAGGCTGAGAAGCGCCCACGGCGGGAATCCAAATCCCGGGTGAGGACTTGAAACAGCGCAAGGCGGAAGGAGGGGACAGGAAGGGTTTTGAGCACGAAAATTCCGCCACAGATGTCTGCAAGGCCCATTGCGGAAAGAACGGGGACGCGGCCAGCCTCAGGACGACTTTAACCTCAAAAGGAAGCGACTCACGGACTCTCAACCGGCCGTCTCAGTTTGCTCTGGGTTGACAAAGAGGGGCTGGAATATCCAGGTCCGGAATACTCCACGCCCCCAGTACGGAAGCAGCAGAGACCTGGGAAGCGCAGACAAAACAAACAGAGCAAAATTTACGCACCACGGTGTGGCCCTCAGTCCACACCATCCACTTCCGGGCCTGTGCCAATCAGCATAGGACAGACGCCAGGCCTCAGCCAGACACACGAGGAGGTGGGCGGGGCCAGGTCGAACCGGAAAAAGACGTAAAAGAGGGCGGGGCCTGATCGGGGGCGGGGCGGGGCGCGAAGGACGAGGGGCGGGGCGCAGGGCAGAAGAGGCTTTGGCTGTGAGGGGTGCCCGGGGCGGCACGGGGGCGGGGCTTGAGCTTTTCTCCATCTGACTCTCGGCCCTTTTTTTCCAAGTTTGATGGGGAAGCTGGCCAGTGAAGCTGGAGCAGCTCAACAGTCTGGGAAACAGCACCTCCCTGAGTAGTCAACCTTGGGCAGTAATTGCATCCAGGAAAATTCCTTGCTGTTGAAATTAATTTTAGTTGGCCGGATGCAGTGGCTAACGCCTGTAATCCCAGCCCTTTGGAAGACCAAGTTGGGCGGATCACCTGAGGTCAGAAGTTCGAGACCAGGTTGCGAACATGGTGAAACTCCGTCTCTACTAAATATACAAAAAAATTAGGCGGCGTAGTGTTACTCGCCTCTAATACCAGCTACTCGGGAGGCCGAGGCAGGAGAATCTCGTGAACCCAGGAGGAAATTGCAGTTAGCTGAGATCACACCACTGCATCCCAGCCTGGGTGACACAGCAACTCTGTCTAAAAAACAAAAATTGCAAATAAAAAGTAAATACAATGTTTCTCCAAAGATATGTTAGATATTCTGTTCAACATAACACGTGATATTTATGATCAAGATGAGCTAAAATACAAGTACTGTCTCAGAGTCGACAAAGTCCAATGGCTTTATAAAAAACAGTCTGGGCCGGGCACAGTGGCTCAAGCCTGTAATTTCAGCACTTCGCGGGGCTGAGGCTGCCAAATCAACTGAGGTCAGGAGTTGTATGCCAGCCTGGGTAACGTGGTGAAACCATGTGTCTACTAAAATACAAAAATTAGCCGGACATGCGGAGAGCTTGTAATCCCAGCTACTCAGAAGGCAGAGGCAGGAAAACTGAAACGAGGAGACGGAGGATCCAGTGATCCCAGATTACACCATTGCGCCCCATCCTGGGCTACAAGAGCCAAACTTCATCTAAAAAAAAAAAGAAAAGTCTGGGCGTGGTGGCTCACGCCTGTAATCCCAACACTTTGGAAGGCCGAGGCAGGCGGATCACGAGGTCAAAAGATCGAGACCACCCTGACTAACACGATGAAACCCCATCATTAGTATAAATACAGAAAATTAGCCGGGCATGGTGGTGGGCGCCTGTATTCCCAGCTACTCGTGAGGCTGACACAGAACAATCGCTTGAGCAGAGGAGGTAAAGGTTGCAGTGAGCTGAGAATGTGCCACTGCATTCCACCTGGGTGACAGAATTAGAGTTTGTCAAAAAAAGAAGGAAAAGAAAAATAAAAGTTGGCTGGGTGTGGTGGCTCACTCCTGTGATCCTAGCACTTTGGGAGGCCAAGGTGGGTGGATCACCTGAGGTCAGGAGTTCAAGACCAGCCTGGCCATCATGGTGAAACCCCATCTTAAAAAAAAAAAAAAAAAAAATTAAAAAAAGAAAAGAAAAGTCAGAATCTAAAAACTGTCATGATATAATTGTAGAATCATAATTATAATTTGGAAAAAAAAAACTTATGATTGCCAGGAGCAGTGGCACACGAGGTCAGGATTTCTAAACCTGCCTAGTCAAGGTGGTGAAACCCCATCTCTACTAAAAATATAAAAGTTAGCTAGGTATGGTGGTGGGTGCCTGTAATCCCAGCTACTTGGGAGGATGAGGAAGAGAATTCCTTGTACCCAGAAAGTGGAGGTTATGGAGAGCCAATATCATGCCACTGAGCTCTAGCTTAGGTGACAGAACGAGACTACATCTCCAAAAACAGACAAAAAACTGTCAGAGCAGTAGCAATGACTGACATTTTTCAACTCTTCCCATGTGCTAAACACTTTTCTAAGTGCTTCCCATGTCCTCAGCCGTAAACTTACACACTGTCCCATGAGGAAAGATCCAGACTTGGAGAGAACTGCCTCACACACACTCTGGGAAAGGCACCACATATCAAATAGATAAAGCTGTCAACAAAACACCTGAATCCAGATGTCTGAGACTCAGCTTTGAATATAACCCGCTAAATACCAGACACAGCATCACATCTGCATTGACAGTGGTTTACCTAGTGGAGAGAAGCGAGAGAAGTCCAAGGGTGGGAACATGGAGCATTGTAAAATGTCACTGAATATTCACCCAGGCGTGCATGCAACCCTTTATCACCCTTCTTGCTTTATTTTTATTTTTGAGACGGAGTTTTGCTCGTTACCCAGACTGGAGTGCAATGGCACGATCGCGGCTCACCGCAACCTCCGCCTCCTGGGTTCAAGCAATTCTCCTGCCTCAGCCTCCCGAGTAGCTGAGAGTACAGGTGCGCACTAGCGTGCGCAGCTAATTTTTGTATTTGTAATAGAGACGGGGTTTCACCTTGTTGACCGGGATGGTCTCGATTTCTTGGCCTCGTGATCCACCCGCCTCGGCCTCCCAAAGTGCTGGGATTACAGGCGTGAGCCACCGCGCCCGGCTTCTTCTTGCTTTTTGTTTCTTGGCAGAGTCTGGATCTGTCACCCAGGGTGGAGTGCAGTGGTGTGATCTCAGCTCACTGCAACTTGTGCCTCTGGAGTTCAAGTGATTCTCCTACACCAGCTTCCCAGTAGTTGAAATTATAGGTGTCCATCACCACAATGAGATAATTTCTGTATTCTTAGTAGACATGAGATTTCACTATGTGGGCCAGGCTGCTCTCAAGTAATCTGTCCACTGTAGACTCCCAAAGTGCTGGGATTAAAGGTGTGAACCACTGTGCCTGGCCCAGGCCTTCTCGTCTTTAATTATTATAGCTGAGGATAATGAAAAATACCCAACATTATTTCAATCATTATAAAACTAAAACTTATTTCAAATGATGCATCTTCTACAGAGTCCATGGGCTTATCCATCCATGCGCTCATGCACACACCACATCACGTCACACACACTTGAATTAACTGCACTGAGATTGTAAGTGAAAACCTAGAGACGGCACATTCACAGCTACTTGGGAGACTGAGGTACAAGATTTGCTTCAACCCAGGAGGGGGAGGATGCAGTGAGATGAGATCACACAAGGACACTTCAGCTTCAGCAACTGACAGATACTCCATCTCATAAATAAATAAATTAAATAAATAAATAAATAAAACTTAAGGTTGGGCCCAGTGGCTCATGCCTGTAATCCCAGCACTTTAGGAGACCAAGGTGGGTAGATCAACTGATGTCAGAAGTTCAAGACCAGCCTGGCCAGTATGGCAAATCCCCATCTCTACTAAAGATACAAAAATTAGGCAAGAGTTGTGGCACTCACCTGTAGTCCCAGCTCCTCAAGAGGCTGAGACAGGAGAATCAGTTGAACCTGGAAGGCAGAGGTTGTAGTGAGCTGAGATTGTGCCACAGCACTCCAGCCTGGGCAACAAAAGTGAATCTCTGTATCAAAAAAAAAAAAAAATATATATATATGTAATATATATCCAAACACACATACAGATATTTATTTATATATATATATAAATGATTAAGTACAGAGTTTATTTAAACACAAAGCTTGAAGATAGCCACCTGGAAACATCAACTCCAAATGAATGGGATCAGCGTTCCACATTGGAGATGTTAAGGTTTCACACTCATAGAAAAAGACAGAGAAGCTTTAGCAGGATCACCACATTTTCCATTAAACACCAGTGCATAGGTTGCAACATGTGATTGGTTACGAACTGTTGCACTTCAGTAAAGGTTATATATCACTCCATAAGAAGGGATGATTTGCCAGGCACGGTGGCTCTAGCCTCTAATCCCAGCACTTTGGGAGGCCGAGGCGGGAGGATCACAAGGTCAAGAGATCGAGACCATCCTGGTCAACATGGTGAAACCCCGTCTCTACTAAAAATACAAAAAATTAGCTGGGCATGGTGGCATGTGCCTGTAATCCCAGCTACTCAGGAGGCTGAGGCAGGAGAATTGCCTGAACCCAGGAGGCAAAGGTCGCTGTGAGCTGAGATCGCGCCATTGCACTCCAGCCTGGGTAACAAGAGCAAAACTGTCTCAATTAAAAAAAAAAAGAAGAAAAAGAAGGGATGCTGTTCCCAGAAAGCCTTATCTCTGGGGCTGCTTAGTCTTCCTAATAATTTACTGGAATTTTTTTTTTTGAGATAGAGTTTTGCTGTGGGCCAGGCTTGAGTGCAGTGTCTCAGTTCATGGCAATCTTCCCCTCCCGGGTTCAGGCAGTTCTCCTGCCTCAGCCTCCCAAATACCTGGAATTACAGGTGGGAGCCATCATGCCCGGCTAATTGTGTTGTTTGCAGTAGAGACAGGGTTTCACCATGTTTGCTAAGCTGGTTTCCTGACCTCAAGTGATTCGCCCTTCTCGGCCTCCCAAAGTGTTCGGAGTTCATGGCAACATTTTCAAGCTTATGTCCATGGCATTTGAGGTCTGCACATAAAAAAAATACTAAGGCGCGGTGTGCATGTGATTTGTGGATGGGAATGAAACTCCTTACACCTAAAAACAGGACAGGGTGTGTTGTGGGGAGTGTGATAAGGAACGCTAAGAACAGCCTCCTGAGGGCCCGGCGCGGTGGCTCACGCCTATAATCCCAGCACTTTGGGAGGCAGGGGCGGGTGGATAACTAGGTCAAGAGATGGAGACCATCCTGGTCAACATGGTGAAACCCCGTCTATACTAAAAATACAAAAATTAGCTGGGCATGGCGGCAGGTACCTGTAGTCCCAGCTACTCAGGAGGCTGAGGCAGGAGAATTGCTTTGACCCAGAAGGCGGAGGTTGAGGTGAGCTGAGACTGTGCCATTGCACTGCAGTCTGGGTAACAACAGCGAAACTCCGTCTCAAAAAAAAAAAAACAGCCTCCTGAGAATGCAGTTTGAGTGTACAAGGTCACAGGTGCCTCAGCAACCCACCTCAAATGCCATCTAGTGAATGTGGTTGATACAAGACCTTTCAATAAGTACTTGGTAAAGAAATACTTGGGCGGACTGTCTCAGAAAAGCCACCACCTAGCCTTGTTCAGCTGAAACTGTCTCATTACTTCCTTCCTGGCATTCACTGCAGCTCTAAGCTCTGCAAATGGCGAGGCCGATGTGACTGCCGTAAATACATGTGTGAAGGACAGCTCATCAATTATCAGAGAATCCAGATAAGGGACACTCCTAACTCACATTAGGAGAACCAAACACACGCGTAAAATATAAGGTGCTAGGTTACCATAGGTCAAAAAAATAATCAAAGAGCAGAAAGCATTATTATTTATTCATTTTAATTTTAATTTTTTTTTTTTTTTAAAGATGGGGTTTCACCATGTTGGTCAGGCTGGTCTTGAACTCCCAACCCCAGGTGATCCACCCGCCTTGGCCTCCACAGTGCTTGGATTACAGGCGTGAGCCACCACGCCCGGCCCACAAAATTCT